CTGGGGAATAATTAAGTATTAGATTTTTAATTTTCATGTTTGAAGACTTCCAAATTTAAGATATCGTTTTTAATATTTTCGTGAAATAACCATATAACATAATTAGTACTTATTTTAGATAATCCATGTTTTTTGAATAGAACAACCGAGTTCTTAAATAACCTAGTCGATTTTTCAACAAATCTCTACAGTATACATCATACTTACAAAATTTAAATCGGAAATTATTATACAGTGTGTACTTTTAACATAATACCACGTGGTAGAGAAAGGTGAGACGGTAACTTTCAAGGACGAGGACACTCGTCTTGACAACGAACGATTAGCACACCGTTAACTAACAAGAAAAAAATGAAAAAAAATTGGTACTCCAAAATTTAAATTGAATATAATAATATTTAAATTATATTTATATATATATATATATACGTCGGAACAGTTAAATTGGTATCCAAATACATTTAGTCAATATTTTACCTTTAAATCGACTCCCAAGAATGTTCAATTTAGTTTCATTCGCCTCTTTTATATTTATTTTTTATTTATATATTTGGTTATGAAAATTATATTAATTAAACCGTTATTTCTGATAATCCTTGTTGGCTAAAGAGCACATAGTACCGTGACTTAAACCTTAATTAAATTATAATTAAAATTAAACGAATTCCCATGTAAAGTGTCACTATTGGGGAAAAAGACTCAAAATACTTCGCACGCCCATTGTTGTAAGTGAGAAGCTGAGGAGTTACGATATAGCGGTGAATTAAATTTATATCTGTATACAACGATAAATAATTTCTAACGAAAACCGATTCGGATCAAAGTTTCTTTCATACATGTACGTAAAATTTCCCGGTTTTTTCTCGGTTTTTCCCAATTACTATGAAAATCGCTTAAAAAAAATCAAAAAATAACATTGTTAAAGTATCATACTGACAGAATTTCCTTTCAGAAAAGGTATTTGAAAATAGAAGCAAGATTTTTGGTGGAACAGTCGTGCACAGATTAAAAATAATAAGCATCATTATAAAACCGATACATTCCTTACTCCGAATCTAAAATTTAAATAACAAATTGTTTGAAGTTTAGACCATCCATCAGTGAGATTTGATAGATGTGTGTACCTAATTAATTAAAACACTATTTTGATTGTAGATTGTAGCTGTCAGCTACAGTTTCAAGCTTTAAATTGTCTATACAAATTATGCTTATTATAGTTTACAAGAGCGCATTTTGGAGTACATTTGCGCCTGACAATTATGTGAAAAATAAATCTGCCAAAAATACTCTTAATAAATATCAATAAACAGTGGTAGATTTGCAATTGGACACTAATTAAATTTCAATGAAACGTCTAAGAAATAAGCATTTATTAATACCTCTGAAATGAATATGATTTTTCGGGATCCTTCCCAGGAAAATGTTGAAACTCCGGCACTGTAATTATAACAATGAAACATTTTAAACGGTTGCAGTTTTATCGGTATACTCCCCCGTATGATGACCGTGACGTTGGGTTTTATTTCATATACTTAAATACGTATAGATTGTAACGAAATCTCCGTATACATCGCATTGTTTGGACCGGTGAATGTTTTAATATAAATACAAGACTAAATGTCTGACGAAATGAGACAACGAGTATATTTTGTAAAATAGTGTATTCGGCGCCAGGCTGCTGAGTGCAAAGTGCATACAAGGCCGACGACACTGAAAGCAGATAAAAATACCGCCTGTCCCATTGGACTGCGTTATCGTATTATAGTATACTGTGTAATCGGCGGAGGAGTTCATGTTAGGTGCGTTAACCCGGCAACCGTAATTTGAAAATCAGACATTTCAGCCATGCAGTATTATGTACTTCGTATTGTAGAACCAAATTTCAATTTTGTAAGATCCTCGAAAATCCACAAAATTCAATTACACCTTACGGGTGCTGCGGTAACGTTGTCCCAGCACCCGGGACCATGTAATTAACGCAACAATACACGATTAGTTTTCATACTATTAATAATAATGTACCCACTTACGTATTTTTTGAATTATTTTAAAATTCTGTATCTGTATAATGTTTTCTTTTAAAGGCTTTTATTATTTGTAAATTACAAATTTCTGCATTTCGGCTGTGCCCACCTAACCAGTAAAAGCTTAAAGGTTTTTAGACTCATCGATTCATAGATTGTTGTCGTTATAAAATACAATAACGTAACGTACATAGCGGTTTTACAAATTTGTATAAATAATGTTTTTACCGCCCGTGTTCCCTAAAAAAAATCCCCATATAGCAATGAAATGTAAATTACACGAAATTTCTTTCGGTTGTACGAAATAAAATTGTTGTCAAAATGCATAATTTTGGTAGTAAGGGTGCCAGAGTAACATACGTATCTGCCATCGTGTTGCATTCGAAACCGGTGAATATACGGGTGATTAGAACTACACGTTTGACAAGTATAAATATTGATAAATACTCGGCGAGTACACAAGTTTAGAACGCTTTAAGAAATACAATGATTTTACGGGTTTGAAAGCCGATTCGGTTATACGTTTTTCTGGAGCCAATTTAAAGATTGATTTTATATAATTATGATTTATATCTACTACCAGCAGTTGAGTAGTTGCGTTTTATAATTTAGAGACTGTTTATTATTTGTTTACTTTGAACTGAACGTAAGTATTTGACATTAATTGTCTAATTTTTCGTTTTAATTTTTTTTTGTTTTTTATAGATAAATCTATGTTGGCTGATCTAAAATGCTTGGACATTGTACACAAGATTCGTTATCAGTCGTACTCAGTGGCCAAAATGTCGTACGTAATGTAGTAGTTTCTTTCTTATAGAAGTTAAAATTTTGACGAAAATTGAAAAAAACCACGAATCGTTTTCTCATCATCTGCACCAACTCGTGCATACTCACCAACATCATTCGCGTAACGCGTAATTTTTTCAAGGGCTTTTTTTTCCGTCCACTGATTTCGACTCGTAGGTAATATTTATTTTCTTTTATACAAAAAAAAAAAAAAATGTATATACTATTATACATATTGTAAAGGTATTAACTTTCATGACTGCCTTAGCGATCCGTCGATTCGATAACGTGTTTTATCGAATTATGTAAATACGATAATAACCTCGTGAGCGGCACAAACGCGGAACGCGAAATACGGAAGCCGGAAACGTCTTGTACGTTTATTATACCTGCGTCTCTCGCGCCTCACGGCAAATAACGCCCCCGGACGCACACGATAATATAATATTTTCTCCGTTTAGCCGCGGACAGTTATCGCGTACACATATTGTCGGTCGCCGATTTGTAGTTCGGTCAAACTTTCTAAAATGATTTTGTCGTACGAACGGGTATGACATTATTTATTAATCGCCGAACGATACGAATGATAATAGTTTTTCCTCGCACAGACATGGTACACGGGACATTCGCCGGAATGCGATTCGCAGCCGCCCGGACTTTCGATCCGTATTGCCTGCGAACGCCCAAAAGCCGTTCGGGGAACCAGAATCGATTGGTCGTCTGTACGCTATCGGATGGTAATTCTGCCGTCCATGTTTATTCGTCGGCTGAAGAAACTGGATTTGAAACTCTACTGGCTAGGTGTTTACTAAATATTTCGATCGGTCACGTTAATAATAAAATATCAATACCGTTATGAACGTTACCATACATTTCATTCCGTTCTATTTTATTGTGTTTTTAGTTATCTCCATATCAATATTACTATATATTATTGCATGCTATCGGGGCTGTGAAGGGGTTTTAAACAAGTCCCCGTGTTTGAAACGTTTTATACACGTTCGAAAATTAAACTACAACGGCTCTTATAAAAATTACAATTATAAAAACGATAATGAAAGATCTACTCGACGCGCCGGCTATAGATCAAAAATGTTACGAGACAGTTCCAATAAAGTTTTCGATCGGAAAAATGTATTCGTTTGCTGGCACAAAAAATACGGTCTAAAGAAATGAAGATATTTACACATGGTTTCTTTTCATTCTGAAAATTAAAATAAACAGTTTCAAACACTTGTCGATGAAGAATAGAAAATTTGGTTTCAATTGTTGTTTTATTTTTAAATATTGTTATGATAAAATTCTATTAATAATAAACTAATATTATAATATGATATTTAAAAAAAAAAAAACGTGTTTTTTTTTTTGCAATTCTTAATATACCAGCAAACCACACGCCAAATAAATATCAATCGATTCTTAGTTTTATTGATATTCGATGATGACATCGGTTATTATAATTTATTGGAAAACCGGTAAATTTCCCGGATTGGCCATTTGTTTTTCCCGTTTAATAGGAAAATTACAAGGAAATAGAAATAAAAACCAAAGTTAAAAAACCAAACTCAACGCACCTGAATTAGATCGAAAATGCTAAAACACGGTGCCTATAAAGTTTTCGATCGGAGCAAGTTCTCTGGTAGAAAATTTATTCGTCTACAGGCAAAAAAAAAACCCTCACATCACATTACAACCAATGCATTACTCGCTTCGCTAAGAAACTAAAATACTTTACTTCAATACGATACAATCGATGTCACTCCTGAGATAACATCGATTCATCACAGGAAATCGCTGTTGTTTTTTTTTCTTCTTTTTTGAAACCTATACACGTTTCATATAACCGCGTGTAATATAATATCGAAATGAATAAAATGCCAACACGTTTAAACGCTAATGAGTTTTTATTTTCGAAAAAAAAAATAATAATAATAATAATAGTAAAATGTCTATAATAATAAATTAGCGCGACTTAAAAATAAATGATTTTCTAATGGGATTCGAGTGAGATGTGTAATAATAATGATAATATTATGTTATACCCGGACCAACGGTACGGCGATTTATAATTTTAAACAATTATTAAAAAAATATTTGCGTTCGCGGGCGTCCGGGAATAACGCGTACATTTTTTTTGTTAACAGGTGGTCAGATAATAATAATACAATTGTCAGGACGGGCTTTGGGGCTCTAGTCGAGGAATTTGTTGAGCTTGGTGCCGGACGGGTCGTAGATCTTGACCAGTCGGTTCCATTCTTGCGGTTTCTTCGACCTCAGGAAGTTCAACGATTTCTTGATGGATGTGACTTGTTTCTCGGTACAGCCTTCGCAACCGTTGTTGGCGATGACCGGGATCACTCCTGGGGCGAACAACAAATAAACAAAACGGAATCAAACAAAAATGAATACGGGAAACGATATTGCCCGTCGATTGACGAGTACGCGTAATGTCGTTATTGTTAATTGATTATTTGATCACGTAAACGAACCACGGCGACCGGATAGGATATTATTCGTGTTGCGACACCGTGCCAACAATAGTATCACGGTCATTCTCGTCGAGTCGTTAAGTTTGTCGACTCTGTCGTCGTCGTCGGTGTGTTAAAACTGTCAATTATTATTATTTTTCTCCGAAGCGAACGCGCCGTCCGCGGAATACGCCAACACCTAATGTGTCTTTTTTGTCGCTTGTATCGCGCAAGGGGAATTTCGATCGCGGGTGTTCGCGTCGCGCTTCTCGCATATCGCACGCGATGCAGGCGAGTTCGGTATCGCATTGTCGAACGGCACGGCACGAGGGTACGAAGATATATTTCCGGGGAAAAGCTCGGACCGCGAATAGGAAATTTCCCCCTGTCTGAAGATTCGGAAATAACCTGCGGCGCTGTACACAGAGACACGCGTTAAAATATCTAGATAAATTTTATTAGAGACAATCGCTCAAATGATTTTCGGCTTGACGAACGCCGCGGATAAATAACAATTTAATTGTCTGGAAAAGGAAAATTTCGTATCTTTGTTCTCGTCGCCTATCGTAGAGAGACGTCGGCATTTCGCCACTGTTGTCCGATCGACGTAATTCAATAACTAATTTATTAAATCACGATTAATATTGATTCGTTTTAATTGTAACCGCAAGGTCTGAGAAACGTATTAATTACGATTAAAAAATGATCTGTCTAAATCGGAGGTTCTTTGACTATTATTTTCGCGTAGGTACCACTTAGATTATTTACGCATTATGGCGGACCTATCACGTACCACCGAACTAAAACGACTAGAATCGTGTACGGATCTGTGCCGATTTATTTCCCGTAATGCCGACAGCCAGCCTTCTGCGTACCACCGGTCGTACCACAGTTTGAGAACCGCGGCCGATCTAGAAGCTTCAACCGCTTGTCTCTCGTTTATCGTGAACATCGATGTTCACGATAAAAGAATACGAATCCGAAAAAAAACACACCGCTGAAAATAATCGCGTGGGCCTGACCGATAAGCGATTATTCGGACTCGCCGGTGTGACGGGAGGGGGGGGGGTATATTCAAGTCACTCGCGTCGATCATCGCGACAACGAGTACCTCGTTTCGAGTTTGCGCGCGAACCTCCGCCCGAAAACATAAAATACTCACTCTTCAGGTCTCTGGACTGTTGGACGCACGGACCCTCGTTGAGGAAACACTTCAAGTGGCTGGCCAACACGCGTTCGTTGTTGAGCACCTGTTCCACGTTGAGTTTCTCGAATCTCTTCATGTACGTGGGCAGGTCTTTGATCTCGTCGTCGCTTGAAGACGCGGGACCCGCGGGCTTGGCCGCGGCGGACGCGGACAGCAAGCAGCACACGGCCAACACGGTCTTGGGGTTCATGACGATTTCGGCGGCGGCGGCGGCGGTTTTCTGCGGGTTACGGCGAACGTGTGCGGTGGTGCTCGCAAGAGTGTCGTCGGCGGACGTATGTGACCGGCACCCGGAGACCGACGGTCTTTATATACCCGCGGCGAGCCGACGGAATACAATATTCTCGTACCCGGGGAAGTGGCGGGCCGTATTATGCGTCGTATACGTATATACGCGTTCGTGTACGGGTAATGCCGTTGTGTTATGCCATTACGCGATTACGATACGATCAATTGTCGATTCTTTCCATATAGGCAGGCGTATAATACGCGGTGTATAGATTGTCGGCGGATCAATGTCAAGGACGTTCCGCGTTTCGTCTTGAAAAAAAAAAAAAAAATCGCTTTTCTCTTCCTCCTCTTACACCTCCGTTTCGACCGTTTCAGTAGTCAGGCAATTATCTGTACCGCGATCGTTCACTTCCGTTACCCAAAAATCGCGTGGCCCGCGGCGAAATGTCACGAAAAACGCGTTTTGAAAACCCCGAATACGTATTATAGTCACCGTCGCCGTAGAGTGAACAACGTCGCAATGGAAAATACCCGGTATCTAAACGTCAGATGAATACCCGGGGTATTTGTTTTAAATTGATAGCTTTTTTTTTAATATTATTCCGAGGTATTCGAAATGAACGTGGGATAACAGAACCGGCAGTGTTCGGCGCTTCGAATTAGTTTTCGACAATTTTTCGTTTAATTTACCATAGGTATTAAATTGTTTGGGATTAGTTGACTTGTCGGCTGACACCAACGTACAAGCACCTTGATTAAATAATCAATGAGTAAAATTGATTATTCGAACCAACAGTTTGTTAAACACAAAATTACCAAATCATGGTAAGGTTTAGTATCAAAAAGGTTTATCGTTTATCCTATGGATGTTTGAGAAAGAAAAAAAAAAACCGTTTTTTTTTTTTTTTTTAAATAAAACACAACATAATAATTTGTAAGTGTCGTCAGGGACTTATTTTTTTATGAGGAGGATAAAAGTTCTAAAAAAACGCTGCATTGAAAAACGGATGGTATGGATAGAGACAAATGAAAAATTGCAGTAGAAAGAGTCAGCGAAAGTCCTTGAAGGACGCTAAAAGCTTGAGAAGATCAAGATATTTTAAGATTATTTTAATTATCTATAGCAAAACAATTATTTATCGACTTATATAGTGTAATAATGTGTGTACTGCTGTCGATATCTTAACCCAGTGTAGCTTTTCAAAGAGTTTTGTTTATTATAATTCATTATTGTACAGTGTATAATAATTTTTTATTGTTATTGTATTTTTAGAATAATACTTTCTTGAATTTCGTATGATCCGTCGTATGGTATTTCGTTAAAATCCAGGTGAAAATTTGTTACAATAAGGCGACGAAAAAAAAAATATCAATACCCGTTTAATATCGCACCAAAATGTCTATGTTGTTCGATGGTTGGGTTTATCGCGGATCGTATCGGAAAACTATAAAAACAATAATTTTCGAGCTCCACATTTGGATGGTTTTTGGTAAAACTTTGATATTTTGTTAAGCATCAGTGAAAACAAATCAAAATAAAATCATTGAAAATTACGACTTATAAAATGCGTGTACACCAGTGCAATCATATAGAAAACGCTATTAGAGAAACTATACTTACATATATTATAATCTCTTTAGATTTAGATATAAAAAACTATTATAAAAAAATACGCAGAGAAAAATTGCAATAAAATCGAACATTACCAAATACTTATACACTTATAACAATATTGCTTTTCGTGTCAAAGTTTTTGTCAGACTATACAATTAATCATATAATTTGAATTGAAATCTTTTATGACTGACCTATAAATTCGACATCAATCAAATATGTGACACGTTTTTTGAATAAGTGACAATCAGAATACCCACGTTTTATCCACAAAGTTCTACTCTCCCATTATCATTACGAACACGGTTCGATTAATTCACTTTCATAAAAATATTGCAAAACCATACACCAACGGTTCACACCATTATTTATTTTTTGAATCAAACAAATTCGTACACGAGATACCTTCTTGTGCGACAATTTAAGCTGATAAGTATTCGAAACAATTCCCCACTCAAATAAAAAAAACCCTATCAAAGTGTTATAACGCTTTAGATTCTCAGCGGAGCGAGGAATGTATTGGTTGTACAATGATGTTTTTTTTTTTTATGTGAACACCTTTTCTACCAGAAAGCTTACTCCAATCATCAATTATAAATGTTTTCTGGGTGGTACTTTAAAGAGATCATTTTTTGAAATGCTTATTAATATTCGAGATGATGAAGAAAACCTGATTCTTTATGTTAAAAAAGATTGAAAGATTAAAAATAAGGTTGTCATTAGCAACCGTTTTTATTTATTTTTGTTATTATTAAGTTTTTATTATTTTTACTTTTCAAACAATCATTGTTGTCATGGAAACGCACATTTTTGTAATCATTTCATCATAATATGACATATGTATTGTTGACAAAGCAACATTATCAACTAAACTCCATTCAGAATCGTTTTTCGCAAGTAATGATCTATCGTTGCTTACAGATTATACATTGAATTCCCGTCTGTATCCTACGTTCCCAACTACCCACTTACAACAGTGACTGGACCCACGTACGAAGTATGTCTGTCTTGTTTTTTATTGTAAAATAAGTATTTTACATAATATTGTAAAAGTTTTTGCGATAATATTTTTGTCAAACTTTCCCCGTTCCTAAATACTATCGCACTGTATTGATTCAGTTGTATGTGACAGTTAAGTCAATTTTTCAAATTGTTTATTGTGATTTTAATTTCTTCATCTTTGGGATCAATGATAAATAAAACATTTAATTTTTACTCGCTATTTTTAAACACTTCTAGTGCCCCCCCCCCCCGGAATTATATCTAACCCGAATGAGCTCAAACATAGAAATTTAGGTGATAAAATTTTTTTAAGTAAGTGATATGACAATGATAACCATATTTTAAATTATCGTGGACTTCAACAAATTGTAAAAAAATTACTACCACCCTTAATACTATTTCGTACAAATACGAATATAGTATGAATATAGTACAATAATATTCGTACAAAATATATGTATATATTATAACTCATGAATTAAATAAAAAAATCTATATATGAAAAAAAATGTAAGGTTATGGTAATTATTTTCAAAATATTGAGCAGAACAAAAGTAATACTATACGCAAGCGTTCCCGAAGGTTTTACGATCGTATCGTATGTATAAGGCGATCAAAGAATTAATGGCGATTCGACGAATTCCTCGCTAGGTTAAACTAGATTTCCGAATCTTGATGTCTTTCCCCCCCCCCACTTCTTTTTTTCCCATTTGACTTTACTGCCTCTGATTAAACACTCTTAGAGTGTATAATCACCTGATCATTTATATGATAATATGAAGTGAAAAACAGAATGATTATTTATACAGATAAAAAAATATCTTTAACTATCTACTTATAACGGACCTACAAAATGATTCTTAAATATTATTACCAGTTTACACTAGCTCAGAACGGCCGTTTTACAACGACACAACATGTCTAAACCGTGCAATTCAAAATTCCAGTGGGTTGTACACAAATTCTATTCTTATGCATGCAGGGGCGATCAAAAACGGAATTATGGCAAAAGCTAGAGTAATAAAGTGTAAGATCAAATAAAATACAAACACACAAATTCTATTAATCGGAAGTGTTTTTTTATTAAAAATCAAAAAAAAGAAAACGAAAAACAGTTTATTACATTATGTAATATGTATGAAGAATATAATATTGATAAGTATTATTGTACATACATTAAACAAAACAGAAATAAGTTATAAATACAAAGAAAATAAAACTTAAATAAAATTACGATAGTTAAAATATATAATAAGGTTTCTCTAAAATAGAATATTTTAATAAACTACACGCAGTATATTTATTAAATCGTAACTATACAAACTTAACAAAGGTAATCTGGTGATGAACCGATCCATTTTGTAATCGCTATATTATTTTTTTTTTCTGTCAGCTAGATACGCCTCATTCTTAGTCTGTGAGGAACTTGCTGAGATTTGTTCCCGTCGGGTCGTACAATGCGACCATTTGAGTCCATTCCGGGGCTCTTTTCGTCTTCACATAGGCGAGAGCTTTCTTGATGTTTTTAATTTGTATATCGTTGCAATCTTTACATCCGTTAGAAGCCACGATCGGCAAAGCTCCTGAACAACAGAAAATAATTTTGTTATTTTTAAATCACACAAAGTATACGTATTACNATTGGAAATCATTGGGAAAATAACCGAGCTCGGCCAAGCCTAGGTCGGCTCAGGAAAAGATGGCTGTATATCGTCGAAATGGACCTCGAGGAAAGAAGAAGAATTAGGAGTAATAATTTAATAAAATATGATTTCTGTAGTAGGTACGTGTAATATATACTCACTCTTCAAATCTCTGGCAATAGGAATACACGGAGCCGTGTTGAGGTAACATTTGATGTGACTGTCCAATAGGCGATCGCTCGATAGTATCTGGTCGACATCCAAGTTGTCAAATCGCCTCAAATACTCTTTGACGTCTTTGATTTCTTCATCGTCGGTGGCAGGCTTGGCCGTAGGGCAACCAAAATGCATGGACAGTAGGCAGAATAATGCCAAAGCGATCGAGGATTTCATGATGATGATGATGACGACGTATAGATATATTTAGCTGAAATTCCGTCTCTGAAGCGATTTCTTGTGAACTGCAGGTACCGTGTGTACTTTTTAGTGGTCTGGCGGACTTTTGTTGTCTGTTATGCCGTGTCGATCGTCTTTATATATGAAAAATCGCGTCACGGTTCGTATGACGGACCCCATTTTAGCGGCCGTCAAATTATCGGTGTATGCGATCTATACTCACGAAAATTATACATTAAATAATTCATTAAAACAAAATAAAATAAAAATACAATAAAAAACCGTGTAATATTACATCGGTAAATAGTAATGTATTCCCTCTAAGATGAGCTGATACGGGTACGGGCGCGGCTACTGTTTTTGGTGGGTAGTGGGGAACGTGAGATACATACAATTATTTAATTTATCCCTGCTACCAACGATAAACCATTGATAACGAAAAATGATTTGATACGAAAATAAAAATATATGTTTTGAAAGGCCGTAATATTTACGATTTTCGTCAAAATTTGATTTTAAAACTTGTATAAAAAAAAAAAAATACTACATTAAACTAAATTTGTTCGTTTTGACTACTAAGGATGACTTGAAAAATGGCCCAAATATGTTGAAAGTTAATACATACGTTTTTAGACAAAATATTAAGTCTCTACAAATATTTTTTGAATCACACTACAAAAACAAAATTTAAAATAATAAAATAATTATTTAAGTAAATTGAAAAATAAAATTCTGAGAAGAGTTCAGTTGATAGTATTGCTTTTCCAACATTATATGTGTCATATTATAGTAAAATGTTGTCATATCCCCCTCCCATGAACTTTTTTTTTACGCATTTGTTTGAAGTTTCTTTGTAGTTTTGGTTTTCACTGAAAAAAAAATGGATAGTACATAGTAGGTTTTAATATTTACTCATGGTTTTTTATGATCATACATATAAAATATGTTTATCTGAAACTATAGTATTAGTAGTTATCTATAGATACTGCATACATTTTCTATAACAGAAAAAAGATACTAATTTGCTGTCATAAAATTTCAGTCTATTATATTCCGATATCTATGTTATAAACGCGACCATCGGCATAATAACGTCAATAGTATTTATAGTTGTGCAATTTTTAGCTTTGCTTTAATGCAGGTTTTATATTAATATACAATATATCTAATTCGTAAACTGTAGATTTTCAGATGCTGATAAATTTACTGAAAATTTAGACTTTCGTTTAGATAACAAAAAAAAATAAATCCAGTTCTTACTACCCGTTGTACATAATTTTTGTCTTTTACTGTTTAGACACTAAAAATTATATAGATACCGTTGCCAACATTTATATTTCCTTTAAATGAAAAAAGTGGTTTTAAATATTAATATAAAAAACAATGTATGCACAAAATATGTATATACTGATATTGATATTGTAGTTTGTACCTAACTACCTCCTCATAAAATATCAATGTACATACCAATAAGTACACTTCGTAAATTTGTGTTTATGACTATCAACAAAACAAAATAGTCATATACCCAAATTTATCAACAAAACAAAATACAGTTCACCCTCTTCCCCTCTTAGGAAAAAGCTGAGCATGCCGCTGGGGTCGCGTCAGTAAACAAAAAAGAGGTTATAATCGCAATTGAAAATATTTGTATTACAATATTTTATACGTGTTCATTAGGGCCCATATTTCAACGCAAAATGCATATTTTTTTTAATGATATAACTCGATGCTTTGCAAGTACATAATTTGATAAATGTAACAGAGACTTCAAAGGTGATATTTTTATTTTGTTTTTTCATGCTTTTTTTTTTGGATTTTTTCATTTTTAGAGCATTTTTTAGAATTTTTCAATCAATTTTTTCGTTTCATTACATTCTTGTACAATATACGTGTATAGTATTTGTACATAATACTACAATCAATTAAATAAACCAAGTATATTTAACCTATGATACGACTTAATAATTTAAATTTATCTAATTCAAAATATTACCCAAATGTTTTGGTTTATCCAGCAAATCAGTCCAAATACAGCTCTTCAATCAATATTATATCGTAGCTAGTCACAAGTCAAATTTTTCAATTATCTGTTTGTTATTTTTGTAATTGAAATTAAAATATTATATACTACTCAATAAAACAATAAATTATAAAAATATATATTCATCCCATGTTTTTGAGGTATACTCGCGGTATAATTCAATGTTAGCTGTTTTTTTAGAGCATTGAATAATTAAAGTGCGTTTAAATCCGGGCCCGATATATTATACAATATTATATACCAAAAATAATATTCAATGCAGCATTTATCTTTGCTGAAACAGCAGCGTTGAAATGTCAACACCGACAAATTCTAGACACGAAAACTTGTGGAAAACCAAGAGTCGATCCAAGCAAATTTTTTTATGAATTTATTCATCCAAGAAAATAATGGGCTCCGTTGAATATGTTCGTGTGTGGACCCAAAGTATTTTACATTACAATTATTATTGTCGGTCTCTCCCTTCACTCTCTTACACTCTCCGGACGTTGGCGAGGAAATATAAAAAAACTGTAGGGTTCATCCATCAAAAACGTGTTCGCATAGTTATTTGTAAGCTGTCTGCGGGCTTTTGACCTCGCTACAGCACTTCCTAGTCCTATATGTTTAATAACCATAGCGACATACAACTAACATATTACAGCGAGAGGAGTGTATTAATGTAAAGCATTAGTAATGTATAAACTATAAACGAAAAAATTTAAATTTTTTCTCGTCGAGACCGAATTTAATTCCGCAAATATTATTTTGTAGTTTTAGGCATGATTTCCATATATCCTTTCTTATTTCCGACATCTGGTGTAATTTTTTTTTTTTTTTTACGTTTTTCTATAGTTTTATTGAATAATTTATTCAAGAAAAACCTGTAATTTTTACCGTATACGATCTGATTTACAAGTACTTGTATCTTTTAAATTATTAAAACTTGTAAATTTTGATTTGAACTTGATATTTTTAATAATTGCATGTTTCATATTAATAGGAACAACGAGCATTTCGTGATGTTGATGTGATGAAATTTGATCAACATGATGATAATACAAATTTGGTATATTTAATGATGTTCGGATTTTGTTGTTTTTGCACTTAATTTTTTTTTTCATTGGCGTGAATTGGAAGTTTTCACATTTTTTTTTTTCAACTTTTAAAATGTTTGGCGTGTATTGCACGTTTTCTATACAATTTCGACTAATGCTACAAAAATAATTATAGCAATAATTGTACTGTTCTCTAGATGCGTTATCTATTAATAAAACATTATACGGGCCCAGAAAGATTAAAATCGGAAAAAAAAAACAACGATCAGAAAAATTATTGAGAAAAACCAACGTTGCTATGAACACAATTTTGTAATACTAAAAAAAATGAAAAAAATAAAAAAAATTGTCCTTTATTTGTAAAGTACAGACTCGACAGTTAAAACATTTGTCATAAAAGTGTAAAAAAATCTAAAAGCACACGACGTATTAACACACATTAGAAATTATTTACTAAAAAAGACATTTTTTGCATGTTTTTTTCCATTCTTATTTTCTGTCCGTGAACAACTTTTTTAACAGATATCTTGCTCCAATCATAAAAATACAAGATGGATTTTTTTATAGCGAATTTTATCGATTACAGTTGCGTTTAAGTCAATTTTTAATTTTGATTTTTTACCTTTATATTTTTTCAAACAATGAGGATGAGGAAAAGCTGGGGAAAATTCGCTAAGAAACGGGTAAATTTACGCAATAACGGTTTCTGTTATTTTATTTATATTTTATTCGAAGATACGTTTCAATGATAATGATGATGATGTTTAAATAACGAAAACGTCAAATCACACATACTAATAATAATGATTACAATACTACTACGAGTGAACTATAATATATATTAAATAATACAATATTATCGTAAATAAATATTTTAAATTAAAAAAAAAAAAACACTACTATGTCTTTTACGATGTGGCCAATTGAATTGGTGTAAGAGCGGAACACGTGACGTGAGGCTCACTCGATGAATTGTTTCAATCCTGTGCCCGTAGAGTCGTAAACCTTGACCAGTCGTTCCCATTCAATTGGCTTTTTGGTGCGTATGAAATTCAACGCCTTTTTAATGACCGCTATTTGTCTGTCGGTGCAACCTTCACAGCCTTTTCTGGCGATGATCGGAATGGCTTCTAAGGATAAAAAAAAAAAAAACAGTAAAAAAACGGTCGCGCCAATGAAAACTTATAATGTTAGCCTTCCCGAAACTAAATAAAAAATATTTATTTCCACAATAATCCTTATGTCACGTTATAACAACGGTCTTCCAGATAAAATTGCCATGTTATTTTTTTGCATCTTAAAAAACACTCACTACAGCTTTTGTTACGTGCGTTTCAAATTAATTTGGTCGAGTGTGGAAGACAAGTTCTGTATACATTTTTATATCATTATTCAATTTACACGATTAAATGCTAGACGAAATTTCGAGCCGTTTTAGTGTGTTGACTATAGGCAACTTATTGTTATTGTACGCATATTGAATGGTATTCCGTTTCATTTGGTGTAATTGTATTAAACGACGATTTTTTTTTTGATTTTACATTTTTAACAGCTAAACGTTGAAAATGTTTAAAATGTCAAGGTATTATCGAGTTAAAAAATAAACAAGCCAAGTGAATTTAAACTTATAACTTTTAAGCTGGTTTACCATATCACGTTAAGTTAACGTCGATTACTTTTAATTTTAACGCAATATTAAATTTACAATATTGTGCGCGAAGAGTTTCGTATAAAAATGGTATTTTTTTTTTTGTCTCAGCAATATTATGTAGAACTCAAAGATTTAAATAAGAATGAATTATCCAATTTAGACCAGCACATTGCGTTTAACATTGATCACCATTTTTTTTTTTTTTTTTCAAAAAAATTAAAAATTAATAATTAATTACACCATCTAACGTAAAAAAAAGTGAAGGTAATTTTAATCTTATTTTTAATATTATGTTAAATTCATTTTTCTCTGGTTAGCTCGTGTTTTTTTTTATTTCAATTAATTTATAATATAAATTATTTAATATTGTTCATTATCTTTCCTAGCCTTGTAAACCGTATTATTTTAAATATATCTGGAACTCGTTCGACTGGTTTAAGTAAGTACAGTGAATTTTTTTGTTTGTTTTTTTTTTTAACTTAAGAAATCAAAATAAAAAAAAAAAAATAATATCGAGAAGTCTAAAATTAAAATGTGAGCTACGTGTAGGAATTTGAATTTTCAATTTAATCATACTGATTTCAAGATTCCCGTCTACTTGTGTGCCATCACAGACTTTTTTCCAAAATTATTATACCTATTGTAACTATATACAAGACCAAGACAAATATTTTAAATAATAAATAACACGCTGAAGCAGAAAAATAATTTTAAGATTTATAATGAAATAATTTAATGATAATGTATTGTAGAAAAGTAAAAAACTATCATTTTTCGGGTCTGTAAACCGGATAGAAGTGATTATTTGAGTAATTGGACCGTAACGATTATTTTTCATTCACACAAAATTCGCTTAACAAAAGCCAACCTAATCGTGTCAGTGTATATCAGCTGATATTATAGTTTATTATCGGAGCTCTGATTTTAATGCACCAAAAAAATTGTCGAAAATTACTGTAAAAAATAAACGAGTATGTTGGATACTGCTCTAAAAACGGGAGAACGGTGAAAATTGCAAACTAAACGTTTAATTTTAAAGTATCTGATACACGGACGATGGTATTATGTACTGTGGCGATCGTTGTGTTATACCGTCCCTCCACCGGAAAAAAAAAAAAACTAAAAAATTGCGTGCAGCATTCAAAAGCCGGGCCCAATTTTTTTCATATTCGCGTAGTTACCCGGATATTATTACTATTATTATTACTATCACCCACTCTTCAGTTCTCTGGACTGTTGGACGCACGGACCCTCGTTCAGGAAACATTTGATGTGACTATTAATCACCCGTTCGTTGCTTAGCACCTGGTCTATGTTGACGCTGGAGAACCGCTTCAGGTACGCGGACATGTCTTTGATGTCGTCTTCTTCTGCGACCGCGGTCTCGGAACGAGCGCTCGCGGCCAGCATCATGCAGCACACCAACAGGGTCGTCTTGAAACGGTAGTCCACCATCGCGGCGATATCGGGTGACGGTTGGATAAGGTCGGGGGACGATGGGTTCGGGCGACCGCGTGAAAAAGTGCGGAGATCGGTAGCAGCGATGCGTGACGACTGGACGAGCGCGCGACAATTACCGGCAAACTTGTGTTTTTCGACTCGGCCTGCCGGTCGACTTTATATCCGCGACGTTCACGGCCCGGCGGAGCGGTAGGAGTGACGGTCGCCCTAGGGGTTCAAGCATACTCGTCGGCACGGCCATTTACACACAATATCGTGGCGGTGGTACACTCGCCGAGACCATTATTTATGTTGTTATTATTGTTATTGTAATGACACGCCATTATTGTTATTATTAATATTAATGTTGAATTATTTTTGTCGGGTTTTCCGTCCCGCGTCCGAGGTCATCGCGTTCCGTCGCGGAATACCCGGAACGCTATAACGATAACAACATACGCAAACGCATCCGAAAGGGGCGGCAACCGTAGTGTAGTGAGTGTAAGGCGATCCGGATTTAATAGCGGTCCGACGGATTCCTCGGCGGATTCGACTAGATTTGATTGTCGAATCTTAGTGTCTTCTTTCCTCCTTGTTTTTTTCCCCCATCCTGCCGTACGATTTACACACCCCGCGATTGTACACGTTTCCGATAGTTTTTATGTTAAAATCAAGTGAAAAATAAAAAAAAAAAAATATTTATCTGTACGTCATCTGAAAATTATCATTAAATATCTACTTATCACACACCTACAAAATACTCGTTAAATACTACCACCGGGGATCGGTTTCTTTAGCACTAAAAATAATCGAAATATTATGCACTTTAAAAACCTACCATAAAAGCATACAAAGAGGTGATAATAGGAACGGGTGCGGCCTTCACTGTTATAGGTAGGTGACGAGGACGGTGGGATACATACGGCTGTTTAATTTATACCTGCAGTAATTAACGGAAACCGTAGATAACGAAAAACAATTCGAATAGAAGTTTGGTTATGCGTGTTCTGAAAGGCCGTAATACTTACAATTTTGGTCAAAACTTGAATTTAAAAATCTTATACAGACTCGTTATTACATTACACTTTCATATGGCTGTTGCATTGTCTATTATATTGATGATGACAGGTGATAGTAAGCAAATCTAACCTACGTCAGTGTACATGAATGAAGTCGAACGGAAATCAATAATCAACGAAATTTCAAATAGATTTTAGTTCTCAAAAGATTTTAATATTTATAACTCATTCGTTATTTATGAGCTATACTTGCATTAATTTTGCCCACACGTAATATGCAATATTAGTATTTTTCTTAAATATAATTTAGGTACTATACCACAGTTTACAATAGCACAGAACGGCCGTTTTACAACGACACAACATGTCTAAACCGTGCAATTCGAAATTCCAGTGTGTTGTACACATATTCTGTTCTTATGCATGCAGGGGCGGTCAAAAACGGAATTATGGCACAAGCCAGAGTAATGAAGTGTAAAATCAAATAAAATACGAACACACAAATTCTATTAATCGGAAGTGTTCTTTTATTTAAAATAAAAAAGAAAAAAGAAAAACAGTTTATAACATTATGTAATATGTATGTAGAATATAACATTGATAAGTATTATTGTACTTACATTAAACAAATCAGAAATAAGCTATAAAGACAAAGAAATTAAAACTTATATAAAATTACGATAGATAAAGAGATATAATAAGGTTTCTCTAAAATAGAATATTTTAATAAACTACACGCAGTATATTTATTAAATCGTAACTTTACATACTTAACAAAGGTAATCTGGTGATGAACCGATCCATTTTGTAATCGGTATATTATTTTTTTTTTCTGTCAGCTAGATACGCCTCATTCTTAGTCTGTGAGGAACTTGCTGAGATTTGTTCCCGTCGGGTCGTACAATGCGACCATTTGAGTCCATTCCGGGGCTCTTTTCGTCTTCACATAGGCGAGAGCTTTCTTGATGTTTTTAATTTGTATATCGTTGCAATCTTTACATCCGTTAGAAGCCACGATCGGCAAAGCTCCTGAACAACAGAAAATAATTTTGTTATTTCTAAATCACACAAAGTATAGGTATTACCAGCAGAAAAATTAATTTCACATAGGAAGTAGGTTAACGATGGAAAAAACTCTAAGAAAATATCAAGTGCCGATTACCAGGAAAGAAGAAGAATTAGGAGTAATAATTTAATAAAATATGATTTCTGTAGTAGGTACGTGTAATATATACTCACTCTTCAAATCTCTGGCAATAGGAATACACGGAGCCGTGTTGAGGTAACATTTGATGTGACTGTCCAATAGGCGATCGCTCGATAGTATCTGGTCGACATCCAAGTTGTCAAANAACCAAAATGCATGGACAGTAGGCAGAATAATGCCAAAGCGATCGAGGATTTCATGATGATGATGATGACGACGTATAGATATATTTAGCTGAAATTCCGTCTCTGAAGCGATTTCTTGTGAACTGCAGGTACCGTGTGTACTTTTTAGTGGTCTGGCGGACTTTTGTTGTCTGTTATGCCGTGTCGATCGTCTTTATATATGAAAAATCGCGTCACGGTTCGTATGACGGACCCCATTTTAGCGGCCGTCAAATTATCGGTGTATGCGATCTATACTCACGAAAATTATACATTAAATAATTCATTAAAACAAAATAAAATAAAAATACAATAAAAAACCGTGTAATATTACATCGGTAAATAGTAATGTATTCCCTCTAAGATGAGCTGATACGGGTACGGGCGCGGCTACTGTTTTTGGTGGGTAGTGGGGAACGTGAGATACATACAATTATTTAATTTATCCCTGCTACCAACGATAAACCATTGATAACGAAAAATGATTTGATACGAAAATAAAAATACATGTTTTGAAAGGCCGTAATATTTACGATTTTCGTCAGAATTTGATTTTAAAACTCGTATAAAAAAAAAAATTACTACATTAAAATAAATTTGTTTGTTTTGACTTCGAAGTACGATTAATAACCTTCTATTAAATTTTCAAACAATTGTGTTAAGCCTTACAATTTATTAAAAGTTTCTCTTGAATAAAAATAACGTAAAAACTTGCAACATTAAAAAAAACGCTAAATAGTTCAAAAAAATGGCTCAAATTTTAAATAGCATATTGTTATGTTATTATTGTGAAAGTATATTGTTGATACTCTGAAATTTATTTGTAATTAATTAGAAGGTATGTTGATTTAGTTTATTATAAGTTATAATATATAATGTTAAAGATTTGGTTATTAATGTATATGATCAACATTATTAAGTATTGAATATTATTAAAGAATGTGTTGATGTTTATTTTAAGTTATGTTCAGGGACGGAATATTCCATCGGGCAATCGGAAAATTTTCGATGGCTTGCTTGCTAACGAATTTTAATTAGCTGATGGATTACAGATTGGAATATTTTCTGTTTTAAAAATCGTCTGCAGCAATAATTTATTATTGATTTTAAAATGATATTTACCACTTTTTTTTTATACTGAAAAGAATAAATGTTAATTGATATAATATAATCAACCTCCGTAATAATATTATAATTAGATATAACTGGGGAGGTACTTTAAGAAGGTAGTTTTTCGATTTTCTAAGAGTTTTCCCAGGAATTGTTAAAAACCAGGAAAAACACGGGAAAACCAGGAAAAACGGGGAAATCGGTACAATATTACACAAATATTTTTAAAGAAAATATATAATAATTATTTTATTATTTTATTAACGAGGTGCCGACGGAGTGGAACGTATTAAAATATTTGGATCTACTGAAGGTTCATGTAAGAGCAACTTTATACAGTTTGGAATTATTGAATGAAGATGACAATTAATGACTAAAACTAGTCTTGAACCCCAAAATGTAAAATGTGAGAGTTGTAGAAACTGTTTTTAAAATATTTTACAAAAATGAATTTTCTTAAATTAAATCATTATTAACTCTACGTCGTGTAAAAACATATTTTTAGGTCAAAAATGTCTAAAAAGAGATTAAATGCACTTGCGATAATAAATATCGAAGCAGACATAACAAAATAAATTAAATATGAAAACATTATAGATAATTTTGCCGATATTCAATCAAGAAAAAAATTGTAAAATAAACATAAATATTATTATATTAAATGTTATTAATTGTATATCATTCATTATTATGTGTGCAATAGTAGATTTTAGGTAGACAGTACCTAAGTTATAAATTAGAGAATTGTGTTTTTTTTGTATAGTATACCTACTATTAAAAATGTGTAGAGAATGCATATTAAGTTAAAATTGCTAAAACTTAACAGAGAGAATTAAATTATCAGCGAGAAAAAGACACAAAAACTGAATTTATTTTATGGCCCCCAGTGGAAAAAAAATTACCCACCACTACTATAATAATAAAAAAAATTTATGTTAAAAATTAGCGTCATAAATGTTGTGCCCGGGGGCGCAAAATCTCTTAATACAGCCCTGGGTCAATTTAAAAGCGAATTTAAAATTTGGGTCCTCACATTATCTGACTCTCGTATCAGTTAAAATTTAAGGTTAATAAATTTAGGCAAGTTAAATTACGATTCGGACCACTGTGACACGGGTGCGATCATAAAGGGAGATGGGATTTATAAAGTTATTTAATTTATACCTTTAACTAACAAAAAGCCATTGATAACGACAAATAATTCAAAACGAAGTTTGGTAAAACGAGTTATGAGAGGTCATAATATTTACGATTTTCGTCAATGTTTGATTTTAAAACTCTTATAAAAAAAAAAAATACTACATTAAACTGTTTTTTTTTTGTTTTAACCACTAAGTAGGTACGACTTATAATAATCGCCTAGGTATTAAATTTTCAAACAGTTTTGTTAAATCTTACAATTTTTCTACGGAATCTATACCGAATAAAAATTACATAACAACTCACAAAATTAAAATGTCGATAAATAGCTCAAAAAAATGGCTCAAATGTTTTGAAAGTTTTACCACATCTGACAAAATTATATGTAAGTTTTCGGCCAGAATTTCAAGTATCCGTATTTATCTTTAACTGGATCAAATTACAAAAATAAAACTAAAAATAATAAAAGAATTATTTTTGTAAATTTTCCCGTTCTTTTTACGTATTTTCGCTTTTGCTCAATTATTAAGAAAAAAACTGTAAAAACATGACTTTCTTTTTCACCAACTAGATTAAAAATTCAAAAAATAAATCTGCTAATGTTCTTTTATTGGATTAATATTTATGGCGGAAAACATAAGCTGTAAAAATTTAAAAAAAAAAAAAAAAAAACGAAAAAAAATGTATTTATTTTTCAAATTTTGACTGTTAACAAATTCAAAACAACAAGAATTTATTATATTCTATAGTGTCACACCGTCAAAATTAAAAGTGCCATTTTTTGCGCCCGTGATGTAGACAAGAATATTACGGTACGCCTTACGTATGGGGTTTACGTTGTCTACTATATCGATGATGGCGAGTAATGTGTGTAACCCATTACAGTCCAGTGGCGTGGCCCGCGTAAAAGCCCGCGTGGCCGGTTGTTAATGCGTTACGAGTATATTTTTAAACGAACATATTAAAATCGAACGATCGATGTGAAATAACGTGAAAATTAAATTGAAATACATTATTATCCATAGTCGTTACATTCCGTTGGCGGTATTATTTTTCTGTGGCATTGTGATTTGCAATTCGGTAATCCGAAATGAACATCGTTATCGTTTGTTTACCGCGTTTCGGCCGTCGGTAGCGTCGGTTCGTGTCTGCGCGCACGTTAATCCGCGCCGAACGCATTCCGTTCGCAAAACGCGGCCCGAACCTCCGCGCGCGGTTCTTCTGTTCCGCAATGCGTATTCTACGAATACCGGAAACGATATTGCACCGGACGTGCGTGTAAGCGATTCCGATTCCCATTTCTCGTTTCTGTGCACGTGACTATTCGCAGTTTATAGCACGCCCAAAAGTAATCGCATTCGAATTACTATGAGGTGTGGCGGCGCTGACATTTCAGCGATTATCGTACGCGTTACACGACCAACCATAGTGGTTTTACATTTTAATCGGCGTCGTTATGTTATGTTTACTTCACACATTGCGTTCGAACGACACCGGGACTATCGTCGGACGGTAATCTGTGTGCTTGGTACCTAATTATAATGTTGTGAATTATAGGCAAATTATAGGCAATCGAAAAATATTATTCCGTTTGTTATTTCAAATTATCCAACACGTGACTGTTAGTAAAGTGTTCATTTATTAAAAATATAAATATTGTCATTAATACTTACGATATAACCAACAGTTTTTGACACATTTTCAGAGGTGAAATCACAAAGTATAAAAGGTTATTGAACTGATATAAGACAAAAAAACAATAGTATAAATTGAGAGCAGTTTTTTAGGGGTATTAAACAAAAATGGTACAGGTACAGGTAGATACAATTTTCGGTGGATTGCTTACACCTCTGACGACTCTACGCCACGCCACTGTCTATGTCAGTGTATATTTCAAACGGAAAACACTACGTTAAACAAAATGTCGAATAGATATTAGTTTTTAAACGATTTTGATAGGTATTTATAACGCTTACATTGTTTACGAATTACCTATACCAGTTCAATATTTAAACCGGAGAAGTAGGGAAGAACTATGATCTATAAATGGTTATTAAGTTCATCAATTAACCTTATCTCGACCTTAATCTAACGGGATGTGCATTTGAAAAGGGGGAGGTTGCTATATTAAAATCTAAATTGTAAACTTATATCGTTTTTAAAGTATCTCTCCTTTGTTCGTTCGAGTACACACGGATGACGGGAGTATTGTTTAGTGCTAAACGTATTATATTTCTTATAAAGACGTAATTTCCCAGTATACTGTCTTATTCAGTCGAAAAGTTGAGTTTTTAAACGGAAAAAAAATAAAAACGTTTTCGTACACAAAAACAAAAAATTAAATTTTCCTACACGTTTTCACTGTTTGGAAAACAGCACACGCGGGTATCGCGTTATTTTTATAAAACGATTATTTTTTTGCATTTAGAATATTTCGGGTCATTTTATTAAAATCGAGTTGTTTTCTCAATGTTGCGCGCAACATATTTTTACCATCGCGATGACTAAAGTTGAACTGCGTTTAGTGGCGCCTAAATGCGTAGTGTTGAGGACGTTTACGTAACAAATGTGACAGAAGGCTGTATTTTATTTACATAATAGGTAGTTCGTAACTTTGTTTTATAATTTACAAATGTGTTATCCTTATCCTACAATATTATTCAACACGAGTAATAATTTATTGTTTTTTCATGTACGTTATGCACTTTTGAATACCGCAGCTCAGGGATTCTCACACGAAAGTCGGTGTAACTATATATTTAAGGGTTTTCGGAAAACGGTGCGCTCGTTACCTTTATTCGTATTATCTCCGGTTATAATTTTTTCAAAAAAAAATCGCATAAAACAATTTATGTAATCACCTGTAAAACATGTTTTGTTTTTCTATTATAAGTGCATTAAAAATAACGTTGTTATGACGACTAATAAGAATTCTCATTGCCCGAAGACAGTTTGATTAGTTCAGTAATAATTTATTCTGAAATAATAATATAATGTGCATAAATAAATAATGAAAATATTATTGTTGCAAAACTATAAATCATAATTTATTGTATAATTTTTTTATTTATGATGCAATGGAACGTTTACCCGGTGTAACAACCTACTGAGTACGCGTGTTTATTTTTCGACCACGAATTGTAACATGCGATATCGGAATTTTTTTTTATAATTAAATTTAACACTCGCACGATTCACATTCGTTCGGCAAGGCGCAGTACATTCTACAGTGATAAAAAATGTCTAAAGCGAGCAATTCGATTGTTCAAAATTCCAGTGTGTTGTACACATATTCTGTTCTTATGCATGCAGGGGCGACCAAAAACGTAATTATGGCACAAGCCAGAGTAATGAAGTGTAAAATCAAATAAAACACAAACACACAAATTCTATTAATCGGAAGTGTTTTTGTATTTAAAATCAAAAGAAAAAAAGAAAAACAGTTTATTATATAATGTAATATCTATGTAGAATACAACATTGATAAGTATTATTGTACATACATTAAACAAATCAAAAGTAAGTTATAGATAAAAAGAAAATAAAACTTACATAAAACTACGATAGTTAAAAGTTATAATAAGGTTTCTCTAAAATAGAATATTTTAATAAACTACACGCAGTATATTTATTAAATCGTAACTTTATAAACTTAAAAAAGCTAAACTGGTGATGCACCGATCCATTTTGTAATCGGTATATTATTTTTTTTTTCTGTCAGCTAGATACGCCTCATTCTTAGTCTTTGAGGAACTTGCTGAGATTTGTTCCCGTCGGGTCGTACAATGCGACCATTTGATTCCATTCCGGGACTCTTTTCGTCTTCACATGGAGGAGAGCTTTCTTGATGTTTTTAATTTGTATTTCGTTGCAATCTTTACATCCGTTGGAAGCCACGATCGGCAAAGCTTCTGAAAAACACCAAATTATACCGTTATTGACTCATGGGCCGGCGTAATATTAAACGACACCCCAGGCCAATATGCCAATTGGCGCCTTTTTCATACAAAAACCCATAACATAATGCCAAAAATGGACAGAACTATTGAAAAATTAAATTTGCTCACCAATTAATATGTATATTATTTATTATCGTCCAAAAAAAAAAAAATTTTTAACGATTAAACGATAACAAATATTCGGGGATTTTATATTTATATTATACGACAAACATTCTACGTTAAACCATAGGAAATAAACTAAAAATATACTTATACTATTTTAATATACGGCTAATCGAAATAACTATAATTATCAATGTTTCACTACTAAACTATTTCATTTATTCAAAAAAATAATACTACCTAAAAAGCAAATTCGGTGCCCTAGACAACTGTCTGAGTCGTCTACCCTCACGCCGGCTCTAGTAATTGTAACATCACACGAAGTATACGCATTATCATCAGTATCATAAGCTTCACGTAAGAGAACACGGGGAAAACAGAATAAGTAAAGCAGTTGAAATTTGAAAACCATTGGAAAAAGGACCAAGTTTGGCTAATCCTAGGCTAACTCAGGGAAAGATGACTGAATGTCGTTGAAGTGGCCCTCGATCGGTTGAGATTACGAAATAGACGCGAGGGCCATGAGAAATGGAAGTAGGTCAACGATGGAGAAACTCTAAGAAAATATCAAGTGCCGATTACCAGGAAAAAAAAGAATAGGGAATAATAATTTAATAAAAAATGATTTCTGTTGTAGGTACGTGTAATATATACTCACTCTTCAAATCTCTGGCAATAGGAATACACGGAGCCGTGTTGAGGTAACATTTGATGTGACTGTCCAATAGGCGATCGCTCGATAGTATCTGGTCGACATCCAAGTTGTCGAATCGCTTCAAATACTCTTTGACGTCTTTGATTTCTTCATCGTTGTCGGTGGCAGGCTTGGCCGTAGGGCAACCAAAGTGCATGGATAGTAGGCAGAACAATGCCAAAGCGATCGAGGAGTTCATGATGATGATGACGATGACGTATCTCTTGAGAAATGTAGGTACTGTAGGTAGCTGTCTACTTTAAGTCTAAAGAACTTCTGTTGGCCGATACGCCGGGCCGGCCGTCTTTATATATGAAAAATCGCGTCACGGTTCGGATGATGGTCGCTGTTTTAGCGGTCGTTGGAATATCAGTATTTGCGATCTATTTTTACGAAAATTAAACATTAATATTAATGAATAAAAACACCGCAGAATTATTATTGAGGATATATTATATCTGTAAGTAGTATTTTATTCACTCTTCATGAATAGATAACGATAAAAAAACAATTTAAAAATTCTCCTCCTCTTGAGTACCTTTGAGTTTATTATTATGTACTCGGTAAAACAAACAATTTTTATTTTAAATTTTTAACTATACATAGTATTTTTTTTAAAAATATATTGACTGTCGTTTATTAACTTTTTAATGCTGTAATTCTATTCTGATGGTGTTTATGATAAATATTTTTTTTAACGCAACCCCTATTCCGTACAGCAGGTGTTTCCCAACCAGTGGTCCGTGAGCCTGTTATAGGTGGTTTTCAGTCCCATTGATTTTTTTTTATTTTTTTTTTTGCTCGTTCATTTCAAAAACAAACAGAAAAATATTACGAAAAAATATAATATCCATTGCGTTTTTTTACTTTTAAAAGTGTTTATCAAAGTATTGATTAATATTATTATCGTTATTACTGCCGACGATCGATTAGTTGTGTTTCAACTTTTTTAAGTGTATAGGTTCCAAAGGTTTATTACTTTGATAAAAGTATTTATTAAATGCCATTAAATAACGATTTATTAAATATTATTATTGAAACCGATAATTGTTTACCGATTGCATAGTTTCTCAAATAGTTAGTTATGAGATTAATCGAACTTTTACGTTTTTACGTATTTTTACTGAGTACACAACTTCAATTGGATGAGCTTTCCCAACGATTCATTTTCTTATGAACTGACATACAAATATTTACAATACAATGTTTTATTATTTTATTTTGACATTATTCTTATACAATATATTGGTCTTTTATGTAGTATTTCGGATAATATATTATTTTAATTTGTAATAAACCATACCTAATATCAATATAAACACGTGAATTATAGACTAAATAATTCGTAGGGATGGATAATATGTTCCTAAATCTTGTTTGACTATTTTACACTTATTTAAGTCCACATGTTGGTAATTTTATACATATTTTTAGGTTGGCATACTTGTTTAAAATTATTATGTTTAACAAATAAACTGTAACTGTACGTGTATAAAACGTTAATAGTGAAAAAGAAATTGTTTCCATTATTATCAAAACAATTATTATTTATAATTTTGTTTCTCCTGAACAATTTTAAAAAGTGGACTTATCTAGTTGTTACAGAGAGCCCTTCAATTGAGGTGGTCCGCGATCTATTAAAAATTATCGAAATGGTTCGTGGTAGTAAAAAGGTTGGGAAACACTGCTGTACAGAGTAAAGGTGTTAACAATTTTATTTAAAAAATTTAAAACTGTACATATGTACAACTAGCACCTTATTTTTAACAAAAATGTAATTAATAATTTCTGTGCTTCTAAGAGTTTTTCACCATGCCTAAGCTATTCATTATATTCACATCAGTAATTGGAAATTTAAAATGTCAAACGTTCGTGATTAGTATTATTTTCGAATTCTTTATTTATAAATATTGATGTATTCATTTGAAATTTATACACAAATGTCAATGATTAAAATTTTAATTTCTGTTTGTTCAAAAAGTCGACTGAAAATTTGATAAAAATGTATTCGTCGGTAATAATTCTATTAATGCATACCTAGGCAATAAACGAGCGCTACAATTATAAAAATGTCTCTTGAAGTTTTCGTCCTGCGCATCGTCGGAACCCATTTAAAATTTTCCCTAAGCTTCGAATTATATTGTGTATTAAATCAGTTTAGGCAGTACCGCCCGACTCCGCCCGTACAATACAAATATTTCTCCGCGTGTCCACCGAATAAGTTATTCATGTGCGTTACAGTATTTTTTCGGCGTATTTAAATAGCGAAAATTTGGTCGTTTATAACGATGTCGGTTACAACGACAAGCCTGATATAACGATTTTATTTTGTAATTAATAATTTGTTTTTACAGTGTTATTGAGCTTATGAATATATGTATTTATCAAAAAACAAATTGGGTTTCATCATGTTTCGCGATAATTCGTAATCAACTGTATTTGCGAAATGTTAAGGCTGTCATGTTGTAAAGGTACCATTGATCTGGTGTGTACTTTTGTTTCGGAAAAAAAGTAATATCAATACGCCAGAATTAAAAATAGCATTAAAAAACGTTGTGAATTTGGTTAAATAAAACATATAAAACGATAACGGATTATTTTTCAAAAAAGTAATTTTTTGTTTGATATAAAAAAAAATAATGGATCCAATTGTTACATTATATTTTTCTTTATAATCGGGAAAAATATTGAAATACACATTGGATAACGGAAAAGTTTATTTGAATAACGGTTTTAATATTTTCAATTTTCTTTATTTATCGTAATGCTGTTAAAAATAACCGTAGAGACCTGGCATTTTCGCGAAATACTTAAATTAGTCTATTCTAGACGTGGTAAAAATTTAAATTCTGAATATATTTTATGTTCATTTTCGCTGTTTTCACTACCGCTCGGGAAGGTCGTCTGGATCTAAATAATTCCAATGTCCGACAATAATTATAATTTTATAACATTATAATTTAACACGCAAGTTACTGAGAAAATAATGATTTGTACGTCATACCTATAGGCTACATATATAAGTATCTACTAACCTACTATAAATAAATGAAAAATGTGTGCATTTACTAATTCGTTCGTTCTTCACGATTTTATTTTTTCGTTTTTAAGAAGCTTTCGAAATATATAATTTTTAAATGTTTATTTGAATATATTATACAATCTATATTAACTATGGTCACAATAAGCCTATGAGTGTTAGTCAGGCGCGTATCCAGAATTTTATTTCGAGGAGGTCTTAACAAAATGAATCAACATTGTCATACAGTAAAACAAAAAAAATTTCCTAGAATATTGGGGACGGAGGCAGCTACTGTTTTAAGAATTAAATTAATTTATACCTGTAACCGACGATTAACCATTGCTCACGGAAAAACGATTCTGAGCGAAGTTCGATTGATGGTGTCGCTTTGTCAATAATATGTATGTCATATGACAAAATAATTCCGTAATATGCATTATATATTTTCTTTAATAATATTGTTTAATATTGTACCTATTTTAGCGTTTTTCCAACGTTTTTCCCATTTATTCGAGAAATTACTGGGAATATCAAAATAATAACTCTCTAAAGTACCTCCCCAGACAGATTTATTTTTAGAAAAAGTGCTACCATTGTAAATTGGATCTAAAGGTAATATTGGCACGAAATATATTTTGAGGTAACTACACCATCAGAACTGTACTGGCTACTTTTATAAAGCAGTTAACATTAACTGTTCGTTAAAACAGGGGTTAAAACGGTAAGTATTTAGGAAACAAAAATTAAAGTCCAAAAATAAACCGTATGAAACTGAAAATCCAGCAGAGCAAATATTATCAAAGGCAATTGGGATATTGTACGCAAAAACAGTAGGTGCCTGTATGTTAATTTCTGTTGTGATTTGGTTAAATTTTTTAAACATGGTAACGTATTCTGAAATTTTTTTAAGGCGATTTTGTATACATTTAAAGTTATTAAATTTTAAATTCCAAGCATGCGCGGTAGCTATTGGTTTTACTAAGTTGTTTATTTTTTTTTATTTTTTCTTCTAGTCTGTGAACACGGTTTTTCCTAGTAAACTTGTACGAGTTTTACGAGTAGCAATTTTTCTGAAAGTAAAAGTTGTCTAAATTGTACTTTAGAGAAGTACATTTTTGATTTTCAGATTGAAAAGCACATAAGCTGGAAAAAACTTGGTGAAACTTACAATTTCGCGATTTCATTATTTTATAAATACGCGAATGACGTTTTCTACGAGAAAAAAATGATTTAATCGAAAAGTCACACTTTCTTACAGTATCATTGCCAAAAATGTTGAGCCACTTTTGAGCTTAAAAGGAATTTTCATTTTTGGGAGTTTTTGTTAAAATTCGGTTATAAATACACGTAGAGACTTGAAACTTGGTAATTATACTTATATTAGAATTACCTAGATGTGGTAAAATTTCTAAAATTATCGGAAGATTTTTTTTTTTTTTTTAAATCAAATTTAAATGAAAATCGTATAATGTATTACCAAACTGAGCTCGGAATCGTCTATCGTCAAGCAATGGTTTATCGTTGCTTACAGATATAAATGAAATAATCTTACGTATCTTACCTTCCCGACTTCTCATCTACAACAGTGGCCGCTCCCATCTCCAATATCAGCTTTTTTTAAAAATTACATGTAGAATATTGATACAACCGTTTTAGCGCTGTAAAAGTTATCGTACTTTTCGTTTTAATTATTTATTTTATTGCCGTTCTAAGTACCCAACTTTTCACCGGCAATTATTATTGTAGGTGTACAATTATTGTGTACAGGAACACCCGTCAACGTTATCATCACATAGGCATAAGGTTTCACCCATGTTATTTTGTTTTATCTACAGATATTAATTTATATTTATATTTAAAGAACGTATCCAACAGTAAATATAATACATATCATACAGTAAATTTAAAGTTTTTACGTCTAATATAGTACTTATATATACCGTAAAAAATAACAAATTTAAATAAATACCTACCAATAATAATATTATAATAGCAGGTAGTTTGTTAATATTTTGTTATTAACGTGATGTTTTTGATGAAAAAAAAATAATATTGTTGTTTATGATAATTCCCAAAACAAAAATAATTCATAAAACTGATTAAAAATTAACCCTTATGGACTAGAATTATCAGAAAATATGATTTTTTTAGAAATACAAACGAAAATAAATTTTAAATGCACTTATAAATATATTTTTATTATATAATTAGAAATTATATCTTCATATTATACAGTATGTAAACTAATTATTGGAAAATCAGTGGCTGTAATATGGAATATAATGTAGGGCAGTTTTTTTCAATGTAATTTGTGACTAATATCCTTCTATTATGATGGTCTAAAACAAACAATTCAAGAACCGCAAAACATTCGTTTTTTAAAATTCAAAAGTAGCTATTTTCTTAATTTATATATTTAAAGTACGGAGAAAAAAAAATGTTGATGTCGAGTGAATTTCGAATGAATGAAAGAGACTTCTATTTCCAAAAATACAGCATAATATTGTAAAATTGTAGAACGCTAATTCGAAATTAATAAAGAGTAGGTTCAGTGTTCATGTTGTATTTTTAAAAATAGAAGTTTCTTACGTTCATTCAAAATTCACCTAGTTTCAATTTTTTTTTTCTCCATTCTTTAAATAAATATCTCTACAAACTAAAAATGCATGCATTTTTAGCGGTTCTTGACTTTTTTTATTTCAGACCATTATAAAAAAGAGGCTATTTATCATATATTACATTAAAAAACCTATAACTAAAAAACTACAATATTTACATTTTATTTCGAATTACAGGTACTGACTGACTTTCCAATTAATTTGTATACTGTATAGATTCATTATGTGAAATTAGTTGACGAATCTTTCAAGATTGGCACCGGACGGAGGATCGTACATATGGACGATTCGGTCCCATTCTTTTGACCATTTCTTCTTTAAGACACTCAGTGAAGTTTTGATGGATTCGATTTGTTCATCGGAACATCCGATACACCCACTCTTGCTCAAGACCGGAAATATCCCTGAAAAAAAAAAAAAAATTAATTCTCAAATTAAAACATACGACTGCGGACAATCGTAAAGACTTCATCGAGGAGGGGTGAGGGGTAAAGGAGATTGGTAGCAGATATCGAAACTGCACGACTTTGTGCATTATGATAAAAATCAATATTTTTGTATAAACAATTTTAGAAAATTTTTTAGCTGAATTGAATTAGGTAGGGGAATAACGTTCTTAGTTGAAGATTTTTTATCGATTTCCTAAAATAATTATCGTGTTATTTACTATATATATTTGTATACATATATATAATGACTTTTCAAGTCTCTGGACATTTGGACGCATGGACCCTCGTTGAGGAAACACTTGATGTGATTATACATGCCGCGTTCGTTGTGGAGCGCCTGGTCCAGGTTGATGTCGCCGAACCTAGTCAAATACCGGGCCAAATCCGTCGCATTGTTCGCACCGAAAACTGATGAACAACCGACGAACATAACCAACAAACACGACGCTAATACTGTAGTAACGTTCATGGTTATCAACTGTACTTTATATAGTACGTTTCCAGTTTTGACTTTTAGGGTTACTTGGCGTGTAGCGCTGTGGAGTTTGTGTGCTCTGGGAAATAATATTTCAGTGGTCTGTTATCGCGAACTGACCAAATTTATAAGTTTTCAATATTCAAGGACGAAGGTTATCCAAAAACCGGACGTACATTATGATTACTATGAAGAATATAATTTCCATAGTAAGTCTAGTACTGTGTATGTTTATCTCCACAAAAATCTAGTTTTAGAAAATTAAAATTAAATGCAAAACATAAACTGACCGAACATAATACTAGACCACTAATTAAACATTTATAACTAACATATAGCTGCAGATAATATAATTTGATACAAATTAGTCTACAATTTGGTCTAATTACAACGAGTATTGAAGATTTCAAAATAATTTTATATCAATATTATAATCAAAAATTTCATATACATTAAATTCCTGACTATATTCTAACCTTCCCAACTTCCCACCCGTATAAGTGGCTACACCCGTCCTCATTATCTTACTTTTTTTTTTCTTAAGAATAAGACGAAGTCGACAACACTTCATTGATTAATAGCCGTTCAGCTTCGTTACGATGTAAAATAAAATATCGTATAGTATTATATCCATAGATTGCCGCAAAACCCACAACCCTCATTTGGCAGTCAGGTGAAAAAATAAAATATTATGTTTTCTACGTTTCGTGTTTTTATGAAAAAAAAAAAAATAATAATAAAATACATAACAATATAAATAATTTTCAAAATGATTAATTAGACACTATAGCTATATACCACATACATCGAGAAGTACAAATTAAAGAATTCGGAGTATTGACAGTTTCTTTCGAATAAAGACCCAGGAAGATACAGTTTTAAATTGGTACGTCTTAGTATTTAGTTATAAATATAACTATAAATACAAAATTATGCACTTTGTGGTAATTATAATAACAATAATAAAATTATTATTTAAAAATGAATGGAAGTTGTTTACTTGTGTGTAAGGATAATAGGAACATTTTTAAGCCCCCCCTCCACCAAACAAAAATCCTGTGCGCACGCTTGATCACGGTCGATGTCCATCGCACATATATATATAATAATATAATAATAAAAAAAAAAAAAAATGAGATTAATAGAAAACGAGTATTTTATTTTCAAAAATCACAGTGATAGAAAAATATTAATTTTCCGACTGTAAAACAATGATGGTTAATACAGAATAAATAAATAAACGCACATGAATGAAATTAGAAATACACTTATAGTGTGGTACCGTTTACCGGGCGCCGTGCATTATTAAATATAAAACAGCCGAAAGTTTGGTGGCCATAATATTCCGGTGTAAACGGTCCGAAACAATTACGATCCGTAAAATAAACAATTATAATAAATTAATTTGTTCCGTCTGTAGAAATCACGATGATCCGAGGAATTTGTTGAGATTGGCATTGGTCGGGTCGTATATCTTGACCAGTCGATCCCATTGTTCCGGTCTTTTCGCCTTCACGTATTTGAACGCCTTTTTGATAGACGTCAGTTGTTTTTCTTCGCACCCTTTACACAGGGTCTTGGCCAAGGCCGGGAACACTTCTGAAAAAAAAAAAAAAAAACAACAACCGAAAAGTCAATATCAAAACATGATAAACGTTCAACAAAAAGCAATTCCAATAAGTGCACTAAAGTGAGTCTGTACCTCCCGAGACGATTTTTTTTGTTTTTGTTTTTTAGACTCGGCAACTCCAGTGAGTAAATAATTCCACAGTGTCGCGCTTTTATCAGTCAACGATAATAAAATTCGTGAAAATATCTTATTTTTTATTTTTTAAAGAGTTGGATGTGCCACTGTTGTACATGGGAATTAGGTAGATAAAATATATAAATTGATTTAATTTGTATCTGTACCCAACCATTGATCATTGCTAGCGAAACGCGATTTTGAGTAAGTTCTATTTAACATGATTTGAAATGCCACGATTTTTACGATTTTTTTTAAAATTTGAACTTAAAATTCTTATATAAAAAAAAAAAAATTATCACATCGCGCTCAATATTAATTTTAACCTCGCGTTGAATTTTCAAATATTTCTGATCGGACAAAACAATTTATCTACATAAAATCAAATGAACAATAAAAAAAAAAATAGCTCACATGTTAAGAAAATGTCAATATAAGTGTTCTGTATAAATTTCAAGTCCCTGCGATTATTTTAAACCGATTTTCAATAAAAATCAAAAACGGAAATAATAAAACCGTTATTTCTGTAATTTTACCAATTTTTCTACTCTTTCTTTTTTTCCCAGATATAAAGAAAATTACAAATTACAAAGCAAATAAAAAAAAAAGAAAAATACAATAACCAATATAATAACTTAACTCAATATTCTAGAAAAAACTCTATGGTGGTTTTTTTTATCGGAGTCAGATTTCTGGTAGAAAAGTTGTTGACAGACAAAAAAAAAACAAAAAAAAATGAGAAATAAATCGCGCACACCATAGTAAGACCGATACGTTTCTCGCTGCACTCAGAATAAAAATATGGAATAAACAACAATGATTTTCGATAATTTTACAAACGACTCGGCGTATACTGTATATTATGGTAAATATCGTTTCTTATCCTAGGTATAGTCGTATAGGTATACTCACTCTTCAAATCTCTGGCCTCTTGGGTGCACGGGCCTTCGTTGAGGAAACACTTGAGATAGTTGTCCAGCACGCGTTCGTTTGCGAGCGCCTTTTCCAGGTCTAATTTTTCGAACTTTTTCAGGTAAGTTGGCAGGTCTTTGATTTCCTCGTCACCACTGGCCGCGGGCTTTGCCAGGCAAACGGAAACAAGGAAACACAGCGCAAATGCGATTTTGATGTAGTTGCTGGTCATTTTGAAAATGAGGGGTTTGAGTCTCGGATATTATTCAAGTGTGCACTTCTGTGTCACCGGTGAAAGTAAATTGACTGTGTTCACGCGTCGTTTGTCTTTATATACCAATGCTCTCGACCGATATTGGTGTGGATAATTTGCCCGTTATCAATTATCATAAAATAGCAATAATGTGATAGTTTGTCCGGTTATGCGTGATGTAAAAGCCTTGGGATCGATGCCAAAGACGTTGATCGAAAACCGTCTAGTCCAGCGGTTCTCAAACTGTGAGGCGTGCCTCCCTTAAGAGGCGCAAGTACTAACAGGGGAGGCACGACGTAAACATTGATATTTTCGTTAATAATAATAATAATAATAATAATAAACAATAATTTCGTTGAAACGTGATTTTGTAATCAAATCAGCATACTTATGAGTAGTTTTTGAAAAACTTAATTTGAATAACACATCTTTACAAGTTAAAGAAACTCATGATTTGTAATTATATGTTAAAGTGGATGTTTTTGTTAAAAAAATCGACTTATAGCATAGAAAATTGACAGAAAAAAACGGAAAAACCACTTGTTTTCCATTTCCAATTTTAAATCATTTTCTTGAAGATAATGATCTTGAATTACTTACCAGTTCAATAAGAATAATTTGCGATCATCTGATAACATTTGAAAGTAATTTCATGAAATGTTTTCTACAAAAAATCAAACAGTACAATTAAATTAAAGACTCAATTATTGAAAAACCATTATCAAATTTTACAAACACAGAGAAAGAATAATTATTAATCGACATTTCACCTGATTTTTCGTTATGAATATAATTTTCTTCATTGTCACGTTTAAGATTTTGGAATAACATAAAAGATGAATACCCTAAAGTTACCAAAAAAGCTTTATGTATTGTATATTTTCCATACATTTATTATAAATTCTCCTGGGAACTACTGGGAAAATAAAAAATTGATCTCTTTAAAGCAACACCTCAGTCAAATTTCCTTTCAGAAAAATTGCTACACTGGAAAATCGGAGCTAAATTTCCGGTAGGAAAATTGTTCATAGAAAAAAAAAACATTTTTGCAAAACTGATACAATCCTCGTCCGCTCAGAATCTAAAATATGAAGAACTGGTGTATAAACCGTATGAATAACAAATAAGATAATCACATCAGTTAACTCGTTAAACGAAAAACAAGCACATTGTTCGCATTAAGATTAAATATTAACAATCATTGTTTTTTCTTTTTAAAAATAAAAATATTTCGTAATATTTTATATTAAAATCAAATAATATTTATGATTGATTTATTTTGTCATAAAAATTAAAACGATTGGTTATTTAAATAAAACAAATTTGTAATTTATTTATTCACGGGAGGCTTGATTATTTTGTTTTACTTTTAAAGATGCGAAAACTAAAAAAGTTTGGGAACCGCTGGTCTAGTCTATTAGAAAACCGACGATCTCTATAATAATATTTATATTACTTGTACTACACTATTATGACCGACACGAAATGGCTACGGAATCAGGATTTTGAGAGAATTTACCGTTGCAAACACACAATAATTCGTTTGAATGGATTTTATTTTTTTGAAAAATGTTTCGCTTACAAAACTAATAATCAGCAAACAATCGAAATATCCACGGGCAGTTTATCTGTCTTAAAAGACTTTTTATTAGCAAAAAATTTAAAAAAAAATGTGGTTGAATTTTATCGACTCATGCCCCGGCCACTTGGTTTGGTGTAAGTAGGGAATTTTCCTTACAGTAAAATAGTTTGATGTTCAGTATTCTATTGACGAGTTTAAACGAATTGAATATGTCCGGGGTAAGTTATTATACTCTCTATTGCAGCCATTGTTGATAATAAATTATAATATTAACCACTAACATTTTCTGAACACAGATAAATATAACAAATATACTTTCATTATTTCAAATAATATATACCTGTTATATATTAACGTGTGAAATTTATTTAGATAAAAGACAATTGTGAACTGTGTGTTTTTTTTTTTTTGGTTATTATTGAGAACGTTGTAAGGAAGAATATACGAATTTTTAATGCGGTTAAAATAATACTGTGTAAATTCACAGGGGATATGTCACGAGGTATTATAACTTTAAGTTTTTGACTAAAAGTTAAACGTTCATATTTATTTTATATTTTTCTATAATTTAGGGGGTTATTTTTTTTTTTTATGCACATTTTCTACGGATAATTAAGAATATCATCTACACGAGTTATCTAGGTAAAATAATCGCCAACGCCGAGCCCTAATAAATTTTTATTTTTAGAAAGCTTCATTTTATGCTGCCGCAAAGGGCAAGCGTACGCACGTAAACACGACAGTTCCCCGGCAAACGTGCCGACAATTTAATATACATCAGCTATTATTTTGAAAATTGTTTTTCGGATCATGTAATCCGTTGCATGCGTCATCATTTCAACGATTCACAACAATATTACGGACGCGTTCCGTAAGAAACAACATTGTCGGACGTCACCGACGACGCCCATTCGGCCACGTAATGCGGTCGATTATGTGAATTAATAATTATTGGTCAAGTGCTTTCGCCTAAATTACGCAAACGTCGATAACCGAATTCGCTAATCGATATTTTATTTCTGAGTTCTGCGTGTTATGTATAGGTTTTACAAAGATGTTTATTTAATTATTTTTTTTTTCTTTTATGTAAATATTTTTTCTACTATAAAGTTTACTTCAATTATCAAGTATAGCGCCTTTTATGAAAGGAAATGTTCTCTGGGTGGTACTTTAGATAGGTCATTTTTTGAAATTCTCATTAATATTCGGGATAATGAGGAAAACTGGTTCATCAGGGTAAAAAAGATTGAAAGATTAAAAATAAAAGGTTGTCATTGGCAACCGTTTTTATTTATTTTTTGTTATTATCAAGTTTTTATTCTTTTAAAAATCTTTTTTAAACAATCATTGTTGTAATCATTTTACCATTATACGACATTTATATATATATGGTATATATATTGTTGACAAAGCAATCTTATTGATTAGCTATCAATAGTGATCACTATTAATATCACTATTGATAGTGATCAACTGAACTCCGCTCAGAATCGTTTTTTCGTTAACGAATGGTTTATCGTTGTTTATAATTATACATTGAATATATATATATATATATATATATATATATATATATATAAAGATTTATAATTTACATCTTGAACACTTATATATACATTGAATTCCCGTCGGTATAACCTTATAATTAATTTTTACAGACGTGGTAAATGTTTTTCCATTTGAGCCATTTTTGATCTTTTAGATATTTTAATTTTGCCAGTATTTTACGTAATATTTATTCGGTAGGTAGTTTATGATAAATTCATTGACCACAAAGAAATGAAGGAAAATTGAACAGGAGGTTCATTATAACTCTTACTTTGTGGTAAAAAAAAAATAAAATAAATTAAGTATAATATAGAATTTTTTTGTTTATACAAATTTTAATTTTTAAATGTTGTAGATTTTGAGAAAAACTGTAAATATTACGGCCTTTCAAAATAAGTGTAACTGAACTCGGCTCAGAATCGTTTTTCGTTATCAATTATTAATCGTTACACACAAAAATACATTACATATCTCTCTTTATCATACATTTACAACTCCTCACCTATAACAGCGGCCCAACCATCGTGCGTAGTATGTCAGCCTTTTTTTTTTATATACTTAAAACAATAATTAATTTTTGAATCATTATTCAATTTTTTAATTAGTCGATTGTTTAAACTGATTTTCAGATTTATTCAATATGATTACAGCGATGGCTATGCAGGGGTATACAAAGACATGTTATCATTTTATTGTTATAAAACCTACTATGCATTTATGCAAATCAAATCATAATTTCATTATAATAATATTAAACTTTGGAAGTGACGAAACGGTGTCGGGTTACCAAACTACCAACTAACCCGGTACGGGACACTAGGGTGATAGGAAAAATAATACCGGATGAGTTTCCTGTATAAAAAATGACAATATAATAATTAACTGAACGAAGACTACAAAATAGATAAATTGAACAAAATAAATAAATAAATTCTAATGCGTTATCAAATAGTTAATAGGTGTACAGAAAAATGTATACATAATATTATAACTACAGGTTTCACGTTTTCTGATTAATCTTTAAAAATATAATTATCTGTTTTTATCTAGATAAAACAAAGTTGTATTATCTTTTGTCGAGATACATTTATTATCTTGTCTAGATAGTTTTCAATGCATTATCTATATTTTATCTTATCTAGATAATTTTTTATTTATTTTTTCCCGACACTGGCGGCGAGAACAAGATTTGTCAAAGGTCGTTCGGAAACAAGTGTCGACCAACACCTAGATAGGATACAGTATATAACGGATAAAATTCGCTAGCGCAAACTGTTTTCTGCCGGTCAAATGGCGCCTCCGTTATTTTCCCTTGGATATGACGAACGAATTATAATATAGCGAGGCCAACATCAATCGTTCAACCAATCCTGGGACGGAAAAGAGTAAATACAAACAGTGTGGAAGATAATATTATATTTTGTAGGTACTGTAAATAGTTTTAAAGATAAAAAGAAAATAATTTCCATCGCTATTTTAGGATGTCTTCGTGTCGATAGAATAGTTTACTGAAAATTTCGTATACGCCACCCCTTAAACACGGGAAGCATATTGGCGTGATGCCGACACGGAAACAATCGGTTTACTAATGTGCAGTAACGTTGATAATAATAATAAAAACCGTCAAGATTATATTTTTTTTTTTTTTTTTTACATCGCGATGGTTATAAATATAACCTGCAATTTACTGACGGTGTTTTAATAATAATGTGTATTGTAATTAAGACGAATGGAAATCTCGTTCAAGGTTGCAATAATTAAACCGTTTGGTCCGAATGTATAATGGTAATAATAATATAACGATTATTATTATTAAATATTTTTTTAACATTTAATTTTCGTTTATCTT